GGTTAACCAATACGCCAGATTTCTACGAATGCCCTTGGGTCACGGGGTAGTTGTGAATTTTCACTATCACATTCTTTGCTGTGATTGTCTATAAGCAAAGTCATATTTGCTATGGCAATCGACTTCAATACTTAGTGTTTGCTTTAACTTAAAAGCGTTCGCATCTGATTAATATGCAATCCTCATAAAAGTTTACTTTTGCTTGTTTCTCTTAGTGTAATAGACGTTCTTTATCATAGAACGAAGTTAATAAATTCTATGGGAAAAATTAATTATTCAGACTTTTAAAATTCCGTTGTAAACGAACTCGCTTGCCAAAATAATCCATGTTTAATCGTTGTTCATAATGAAAGTTAGGTTGGTCTAGAGTCCTAAGTATTGAGAATAGTAAGAACACTATTTGTGTTTGTAAGTAGGCTTTCGAGATTCATAGAAAACCGCTTTTTTTGTATATATAAACATAAATATTTTGGCACATTCAAACTTACCATTGTCGTTTTCGAATTTCCACCCAGGGAATCTTGAAGAAGTCGGGTCAATTTGGAATTCCTATAAGGTACATGGGTGGATTTTCCGTCAACTAGGGCTGAGATTACATTTCCAAGCGTTGTAAGAGAGAGATTGATCTTGTTTGCTTCCTGAAGATGCTTTCCGGTAGAACCCGTCTTCGATTGTCTCTCTGATCCCTTTAACGAAAAAGAAAGGGATCATTAGGAAACAAGGCACTGTACACCATCATAGTCCGTATTATGCGAAGTCTTGAGCAGAGTATAAAACCCTAAATCAGTGTAAACTGCATTAAATGCCTTTTAGGTATGATAAAAATAGTTATCATGAGCACATTTGTAAAATATCCGATTATACTAAGTACAAGTTCTAGCACAACTTCGCACTTCTCTAAACACTTATTTAGTAGTAATTTATAAATGTTAATAATGCTTCCCCAGGTATTTTTCAACAAAATACCTTTATAAAAGTAAATAAAATAATGTAAAATAGGGGGAAAGGAACGGTTACTTTACAGAATAACTTTCTTCAGCAACAAACAAAAATAGCCCATAAACTGGTAAAGCTGAATAAGAGGTACTATAGAAACTGAAATATTCGTTATGCATAGGCATTAAGAGTTAGGTCTAATGATTGGACCTTTTCATATATAATATGCTTATCAAAGTCCAGAATTCATCGGTATACTATAAAAGTGAAGTGATGACTAATCAAGTAAATTGAATTTATTTCATAGATAATGGTAAAATACAATAGTTTGCACAATCAAAACGCAATATAAAAGTAAATGTTGGCGATTCTATCGTTTCGTCTTAAGAAGGAAGTTAAAGTGATCCGTAAATGGCCTCAGCGCAAGTCAGAGGAGGAGTGCTTTGGAGTCTGGCTTGTGGATTCGTTTGAATAAGTCCTCGGCACACTGCTACTCAATTCCAATTCCTCCGTCTATTATGTGACAGAAATCTTGAGAGAAGAAAAATATCTTCCAAGCAAATTCACTACCTACTTTACCTACTTAAAGATACATTTTATGATTACTTGACGTTTATTCGAAAATATTGGCAAATGGTAAAAAGGGAAGCATCTCCTTGGGACAAGATAGTCGGCTAAATCACTCTATACCCGAATCTTGATTATCAAAAAATGATTTGTAAATTAGTAAGGAAGTAATGCATTTCAACCTAATAAAAGGAGAAAATATAATTTACTTAGCAATGCCATATTCTTGCTCCAAATCAGGATCTTATAAGGTTTGGTGTTGATGTGGTAAAGTATGTGGCTGAGACCTGACGACACATAAATAAGAGGTTATTCTAGCATAAAACAGCCTGTAAATGTTTACCATAGCTGGCAAGACAATGGCTCACGCACGACACAAAATAGGTTGGTCTAAAGCAGATTATGGAGACTTTACAAGTGGGAGAAAGGTTTGGGAGTCTATAGAAATCAGCAAAACGGCCATCTCGAATAGGAGGAACGAGTGTAGGAAAGTAAGTAAAATTTATTTATGGCTATCGGATAGGATGAGAGAGAGATAGTGAGAGTGCATAAGGAGAGTACTGCAGAGCAAGAGTATGAGGGTTGATTAGCCTCGAATCAGGTTAAAACTCCCAAATTTCACGTGACTCATTATCATTATATAAACAACACTTACCTGCAGTGGAATGCAATTATATGAGTCAGAATGAAACGATAAAAAATATCAGTATTTAAGTGAGAAGGCAGCTTGTCATTTGCAAATGCATCACCTCTATGTGTCATCCAAAGTGGCTTGTAAAAATGTTGTAGAAGCATAGAATAACCAGCCAAATCATAAGATGTCCCTTTAAATAGACTAAGTAAGTTGGATTTTAGCTGGCTACCTTTCCTATTTTAGTTCATTGTGAATTTTCCTGGAACATTTATTTCTGCTTTGACGACTTCTGTCATCAGATAGAGGGAAGCTCCACACTAAGCAATTGAAGTCGAGTGGCGGTGCGCCAAGGACTTATTCGAACAAAAGCCCAAGCACTACTTCAAGGCACTCCTGCTCAAGCTTCCTTTGAGGCCAATTTATGAGTCTTTATCACTAGCCTATTTTGAGGAATCGAACGTTCTAAATCCTCAATCTCTAAAGGGATAATTCGTAAGAGCTTCTATTTGTATTCTTAAATTACGTTTTTCTATAGTCTTAAGTATATGACTAAATCATTAGTTGATTTCGAAGTAGGATTATTTTACAAACTATAATATTAATATAATATAATGTATACAGTCGTAAAGAAAAATTTTGCAAGAATTTTTTGGAGGTATCTTATAGAGGCGACGCCAAATTTAGTAATTAATTACTTATTACAAAAGTTTTAATAGCTATAAGAATAAAAGTTAAATATTATATGTGCTATTTTAACAGTTATTCGTGATAAGCATCACTCTCAATAAAACGTAAAACTTACGGCCAAGTCGACTAGATGTAGTTTACCTTGCCGAATCAAAGGCTTGCTTTCAGAATTTTGTTCACTACATTCAATTGTAACCGTATAGATAGCATGAGAACGAGAGCTATGCTCGTTCATATTAGTCGCACAAGTGATCCCTAAAATAAAAAAAATTACATACTGTGAAAACTCTGATGATTATAACAGATGAACTCTTGAAATAATAATAAAAATTAACTATATTGACAATTTTACAAAAGGATTTTCATGTTTTCAGCTTATCCTAATCAGAGTATATTAAAAGTCACCAGATGTTTGTTAATTATTAACTTTTAAAATACCAATTTGGCCTGATGTTCATACAAATAATTGTGCGTTAGTGAAAGGATAACACTAATAATAAGATATAAATAAAGCAATTAATCAATAAATGTTTAGCATTCACTAGGAAGGTTTATAGCATA